GAAACAAAGATCTTTCTTTTATGCTGTCTCCTGTTTTATTTTGGGAGGCATCCCCTATTTCATCATTATAAAATATAATGTTGGGCCAGCCCCGTGGCTTAGCGGTTAAGTGCGCGCGCTCTGCTACTGGCAGCCCGGGTTCAGATCCTGGGCGCACACCGACACACCTTCTCCAGCCATGCTGAGGCTGCGTCCCACATACAGCAACTAGAAGGATGTGCAACTATGACATACAACTATCTACTGGGGCCTTGGGGAAAAAAAATAAAAGGAGGAGGATTGGCAATAGATGTTAGCTCAGAGCCGGTCTTCTTCAGCAAAAAGAGGAGGATTAGCATGGATGTTAGCTCAGGGCTGATCTTCCTCACACACACAAAATATATATATATAATGTTCATTTTAGTCCAGGTTTTGTGTTGTTTAATATATTTACAAATGTTATATTCTCTTGATAGACTCACTCCTTTATCATTATAAAATGATCTTGTCTCTTGTTATAGCTTTTGAGTTAGTCTATTTTGTCTTATATAAGTACACCTACCTCTGCTCTCTTATGTTTTTCATTTACATGGAATATATTTTTCCATCCCTTCAAATTGAGTCCATATGTGTCCTTAAAGCTGAAGTGAATCTTTTGTAGGCAGCATACATTTGGGTACAGTCATGCACCGCATCATGACATTTCGGTCAACATCGGATATGTATATGTCAGTGGTCCCATAAGATAATGGGGCTGAAAAATTCCTATTAAATATTGGGGCAGATAAGGAGTGAGAATGGACTAGTAGAGAGTAACCAGCTCTGGCCCCACAGGAATGACACGGCCTGGATGGGACAGTGGCAGGGTTAGCCTTCTCACCCCTGCCTCTAAAGAATCCAGATCATGTTTCATATACCTGAGCAAGAGGAATATCTCATTCCTGGTTTTACTCACATTGATCTCAAGCATTTAATTCTTTTTGTCCAGGAGATCACATTAAATTATAAAAACGTGAAATTAAGACGACCTGATACTAGCACTGGGAAACATGAAAGAAGCTCTGCTGTAGAAACGGCTCTGAGCAATTTATTCATCATGAACAGCTGGACTCTTGGGCTCACTGCTTACTAAGTGAAAAGATCACATAAGGAAAGCAAAGATGCTGTTGAATATTAGACTGACCGGTTAAGCAAAGTTTTGCTTATTAATATAAAAAAATCTAATGTCCTTACAAAGTGAAAATTGAAATAATGTAAAATTATTTACCAAGCACTAAAGAATATTTTTGGTATACAATAAAGACTGAAAAACACTGAGGCCTCATATGTGACACAATGAATTTTAAGGGGGAAGTAATTTGGAAATTTTTAAAAAATGTAATGATTGTGGGATTTACCCTTCTTTTGCCCCTCTGCCACTGTTGGTCAAGGCCTCCTCCTCCTCTTCTGTCCTCTTCCATCTCTACTGATCCCATTTTTGTCTATTTTCATTTATCCCACTGATTTTTGCCCAGGTCACTCTCTTTCTTATCATATCTTTACAAGCCCATTAGACCCACCTGCTCCCCATCCTCCATTTTACTCTCTTACTCTCCCTCACTCTCAGATTCATTCTGTCCCTGGTTCTCCCTCTTTGCTTCTCTCTCCCCCTCATCTCCCCACACCCTACCTAGACATCCACACCAAGGGAGTGAAGAGGCCCACTTTCCAGTGAGACACCAGGAATGTAAACACACCCTGTTAGGTACAGTGAGGGAGAGGAAATTTGGACCAGAAGGACAAGGGATGTCAGGTCAAAGGCAGGTAACCTCCCCCAGCGCAGGGCTCAGGGACCTCCCTCAGGCAGACTGTGACGGCCTGAGGAGCAGCAGGGCCCGCCCCCAGGAGGAGGAGGACATAGGAGGGTTAGAGAGAGGACTGGGGGCTGCCCTTAGGGGTCAACAGGGTGATGGTGGTAAAGGGCGATAATCTACTTCCCGAATGGGAACCTGACCTGTGGGGACAGGAGACAGCGAAAAGCCCAAAGGCAGAAAGGCAGGCAGGGACCGCCTCCCATTAATTTTAACCAGAAACAGAAATAACTGGGACTTGGCAGCGGAACCACGGGCATCCTGAGCGTCTCCGAGTTAGGCGGGCCTCCCTGCCAGCGGGGCGGGCCGGTGCATGGACTGTGACGTCCGCAGGGACTCCCGGACCCTGGGTGTGGAGGATGGGGATGCGGAGCGCAGGCTTGAATCTCAAAGACCGGAGCTCACTCACTCAAGTGGACCTTTGCTCGGAAATCCACTTCCGTGTCGGCGGGAAACTAGGGGCAGGTGGGCCTTGGTCCAAGAAGGGTGTGGTCAAAGAGGGGCCTCGCCCAGGAAGGGGCAGAGGCAGAGCGGGCTTCAGTCAGGTGCGGTGTGGCCTGGCAGGGGCGGGGCCTCGAGACAAGCAAGGCCAGTGTGGACAGGCCCGTGCCTCCTCTGCCCTACCCTGAGGCGTTTCTGCATCTGCTCCTTCCTCCAGCACCACCACTTACCACCTCACATCTTTGCCTTGGGATTGCTGCCTCAGTGGTTTTGGTCCTTCGCCCTGGTGGAGAACCTAGGATCCTCAGTCCCCAAACCTACAGGATTTCCACCACAGATCTCCATAACTCATTCCCAGCTCTCCTACTCAGAGGCACAGTCACTGAGGCCCACAGCTCACCATCTCAGACCCGTTCAGACCCTGGATTCTAGTTTCCCACTGGTCAGGATGTGGGCCCTCCCATCTCCATAGCCCCAGCAAATCCCACAGGCCTGACTCCACTGCTAGTTGCACTTTTCCTGGGCTCCCCAGAGGGCCCTGTGGGCCTTTGCTGGACTCACTGGTGCTCCAGAGGTGATGACTGTTCAACTGGGGCCAGGTAGACAATGCTTCTCACCTCGAACACCCTCTGAAACAATGATCACACCCACTGATCCCACAGTTACCACAACATCCTCTTAACCCATGCAAACCCTAACACACACACACACTCCAAACGAGCACACATAAAACCTGATAACACATGTATATGTTCTGACAACTACACATGGACCTTCCACACTGACCACTGTCACAGATGCAATGACCTACATCCTCTAAGTCACACAAACACAAAGGAAACACACCTGTATGCAGACCACATAATCATCATGTGCCCTCTGACCACACAATTGCTGACACAAACACAGTCATTAAAGGGAAACCTGGCTGTGCCTGTACTTGTGCTCTGATAATGGGGCATTTCACACTTTGACATCAACATGGAAACCCAAGGATGGGGGATGGGGGGAAGCACATGGAACAGGAACAAAACTTGTGCTGACCTCCCTCAGAGCCCAGCAGAGCTGGTGCCTATGATGCCATACGGTAAAAGAGACAGGTGCAGACAAATGATCTGCATATGCTGTTTGATACAAAAGCATCACCAAAAACTAAATTAGTGAAGTGCAGATAATTAAACCAGTTTCCCATAAGGAAGCATCAAGGTTTTAATGTGATTGCAAGTTGTCAACTGTGGAGAATTTTTCCCATATGAATAGTCATTATTATTTTCAAAATTCTGATTTAAATATTTTATACATTAAAATAAGAGATGAATCATTCTTTGGTTTAAAATACCTCAAAGTAAAACATTCCATTTCTGCCATAACTCAGTAGTTTTTATTGGACCAACCAACCAATAACAACAGTAAAACCTTAATAAAATACACAAAACAACTGTTCAAAGGTACTGGAGTGCACCTTGTTCAGACAGAACTTGAGACACAATGATGTGAGTACCACATCCATACCGGTTTTTCTCCTGAAGCATCTGAAAATTAACACTATGGGAGGATAGTCCCAGAAGAAATAGGTTGCCTTTCTGGACTGAGGAGAAATAAGCTGGAAATTTGTTTAAGTAAAATATTGGGATTTCTGCTTCTGGAAGATGCATGAGTAGAGGCAAGACAGTAAATAGAAAACAAAGATTCATTTTAAAAGTGTATTGTTTTAAATTCAGAGAGTTGTGGAACCAGAAAGGACCATAAGAACTAAGAGTCCAGAAAGGGAAGAGTCCTTGTTAGGAGAGGTAAGATATCTGATTTCCCCACCTGTGGGAATCTGCTTCCCAAATCTGAAAATCACAGGCAAAAAGACACTACTACAGAATACAAACAAGCAGATGAATATATGGACACATAGACTGGGGTGGGCTGATTGAAATATAGAGAACCTCCAATACCAGGCTGCTTTTCCCCAGAGGTTATTAGGTGGGGACAGGACAAGAGAGTCAGGGTAACATCCTCTCAGTTTATGGTACTTTAGAAGATGCCTTCAATAAATTCAGAAAAATGACCTGAAAGGCATGAAGGTCAGACTGACTGAAATCAAAGCTACAACCCAGCCTGAGTATATTTCAATTCCTAATGGAAAAAGTGAGTACCCTCACTCTATCTTCCTAAGAGAGAGAACAGTCAACCTCTCTGAGTAGAACATCAATCTCAGTCCCTTCCTTTTTTTTTAGAAAATGTCTGACATAAAATTTTTTTAAAAAAGCAGATCTTTGCAAAGAAGCAGGAAAAGTGATGGAAAAATAAGAAAAATGACACATGATGAACAAACCTTCATATATTGTTAGATTGGAGTTAGGAGAAAAGGAATTTATAATAATTATTATATTACATAAAATAGAGGAAATTAAAAGAAACTTGAAAAGATGGAGAAATTCAATAGTGTTGGGTTTGGGAAACTACGGTCTGTGGGTGATGTTAACAAATGAGTTTGATAGATTCCATAGACAGAAAACAAAATTAGTTTGAAGACATATCAATAATATAAATTTAAACAAAAGCACAGAAGTGGGAAGGGCATTGCACACTCCCTCAGAAAATCATGGGCTAAGTTAACTATATGTGTCTATTTTCTCAGTTTTGCCACTTGTGAAACAGGGATATTAGTCATGTTCAAATGAGTACCAAGGACCAAGCCTTCTCTTGTTATCCTGGCAGAAGAGAAGCTCCAACTTTTTCTCTCCTAGCCTTCTGCATTTGTGTATGGGAGGGGCTGGGACCCACGGCTCTCATTCCCAGTTGGTGACTTGTGGATTCATGGCTATTATGACAGGGGAGTATCAGCAAGCACAGATTCTCTTGGCTTCTTTCTGCTCTCCTAGCTTTGCCAAACAGTATTTTCCATCTGTCACTAGGAGGGGCAGTAATTTGTCATTTCATAAATTAGTGTAAATATATTAGGCATCCTGAAAATGAGATACTCTAAATGTCTTCATGTCCTACTTTGTTCTTGTTGAACAAAGCCCTTTGGCAACAAAATTCTATCATCCTTCTAGTAATGAATTTGATGTATTTGTTTTAGCAGTTACCTGACACTGAATTTTCTTGTGTATGCCATCAGTGGTGCTAAGCTGAGAGAGAGTGCACAGTGATTACAACTCAAGATTTTCTTTCCTGTGCAGTTTACTTATTTAGAGGATAAATTATAAATGAAGGTATTTCTACATTGATTATGTACATAGAATTTCTCTGACGTGATTTCTCAATTTTGTTTCACAAAGCTGTGGATGAAGAGTCTTCCGCATTCATTCCATTTACAGTTTGAGTTTTCCCAGGTCATAAATTGTCTCCCAGGTCAGTCCACTGTCTAAAGGTTTGTCATATAGATGACATACACATGAATTCTCTCCACTTTGAATTAACTTCAATTGAGTGAAGTAACAAGGATTAATAAAGGATCTTCTACATTGATTACAAACATAGCATTTCTTCAATGTGCAAGTCCTCAAGAGTGTTTATAGTTTGAAGCTATGGGTGGTGACTCTTCCACATTTATTACCTTAACAGTGTGTGTCCTCTCATGTTGTCGAAGGTTAAAATATTTACTGAAGGCTTTCCCACATAGACAACATTTATATGGTTTCTCTCCAGTGTGAATTCTCTTATGCAGTCTAAAGTTATAACTTCTATTGAAGGCTTTACCACATATATTGCATTCATATGGTTTTTCACCAGTGTGAGTTCTCTCATGTCGTCTAAGGACAGAAGAGTGATTGAAGGCTTTCCCACACAGGTGACATTCATATGGTTTCTCTCCAGTGTGAGTTCTCTTATGCCGTTTAAGGACAGAAGAATCAGTGAAGGCTTTCCAACACAGATGACACTCATATGGTTTCTCTCCAGTGTGAGTTCTTTCATGTCGTCTAAGAACAGAAGATTCAGTAAAAGCTTTTCCACATAGATGACATTCATATGGTTTCTCTCCAGTGTGAGTTCTCTCATGTTTTTTAAGGTGAGAACAATGAGTGAAGGCCTTCCCACATAGATGACATTCATATGGTTTCTCTCCATTGTGAGTTCTCTCATGTTGCCTAAGGTAAGAAGTTTTACTGAATGTCTTTCCACATAGATGGCATCCATATGGTTTCTCTCCAAAGTGAGTTCTCTCATGTTTGTTAAGGTCAGAACAGTGAGTGAAGGCCTTCCCACAGAGATGACATTCATGTGGTTTCTCTCTGGTGTGAATTATCTCATGTCTCCTAAGGTTATAACTTTTACTGAAGGTTTTCCCACATAGATGACATCCATATGATTTCTCTCCAGTATGAATCCTCTCATGTTTTCTAAGGTCAGAACAATGAGTGAAGGCTTTTCCACATAGATGACATCCATGTGGTTTCACTCCAGTGTGAATCATCTCATGTCGTCTCAGGTTAGAACTTTTACTGAAGGCTTTCCCACATATGTGACATTCAAGTGTTTTCTCTTCAGTTTGAGTATTATTGTGATGTCTAAGGGCAGAGCCTTGAATAAAGGCATTCCCACGTTGACGACATTCATATGATTTACTTCTAGTGTGAATTTTCTTATGTAGATTAAGGGATGACAAGTAACTGATGGCTTTTCCAAATTCTTGGCTGATATAGTGTTTCTTTCCCATCTGAGGTATCACACATCGAGTCAATGTTAAAATTTCAGTAAAATTTTCTCCCAAATCACTACATTCAAAGGGATCCTCTTGAGTGTGAGAACTCTGGTTTTTGAAAGTAAATAAGACTGTTAAAGGTTTGGCCACACTCACTCATTCCTTCCTTAACTTCTCTACATATAAATTCTAAAGTAATCATTCAGTGATAGACTACTTAAAATCGTTCTTATGTTAGTTACATAAACATGGGGCACTACTCTCCTGCAAACACAGAGATGTTCTCTTTTGTAGTACTCCAAATTAATTTTTAAGACATTATTATGTTTCAAAGATTAGGCATATAAGCCATGACTATGTAATTGCCTGTTTATAAGACCTCAGCTTATGGTTTTGATTTCAGGTTAATTTCTTACCTAAAACCAAACTAAACAAACTTTCTGCTGTGAGAACTCTTGATCCCAACTTTAATTACAATCAGGTAATTGTACCAAATTCCTAACTCATTCAATTCCCAGGTCTTCATCTGGAAGAACAGGTCCACACCCATGAAGCTTACCGTCGCACTAATTAAGGATGTGTCCTTCTTGCAGATATGTTGCATGGATATCATTTCTTGTTTTTTAAGATCATCTTCCATGTCTGAAATGATTGAAAAAAAATAAATAGCTCGAGTGGCATTAGGGGGATTAAAATATTGAAGAGACCCAATGTCCATTTGAGTATGTTTCAAATACTGACACACAGATGGGAAAGAACGTCAAATAGAGGAATACTCAAAGGAAAAAAATATATTATAGGACATCAACAACTGACATTTTCAGGACTGAAATATGAGAAAAATAAAATGAGGATAGCAAGTTTAGGAGGAAAAGAGAGGGAAAATCTTCACAGAATAGAACCATGAAAAGGGACATTTTGTGAATGTTTAACTCCAGTAAGTACATCAATATCACCTTCCCTAAAGCCAAAAACAATGAAAGAAAGACACTTTCATAGAAATTGATGCCTATAATGTATATCTATAAGAGATAATGACAACATCCAAAGATTTTTTCCCCTATGACATCGTCTACATTTAGACAAATATCACTAAACTCAGATATCATTCTTAGGGCCTACTCACTCACTGACCAGGCTCCTGCTCCTATTGAAGTACAGCTTCTTGGAGCTCACCTGGACTCCAGCCTTGCAGAAAACATATCCCTTCTCTTGAAAGTTGCTCTCCTTGCTCCAAATGGGAAATCACATCTGATTTGTAGAACTGATTGCCTGTTTGTAGGAAAAAGATAAATGGATTTTGAGTTCTGTGCTCACAACAGTGCATGATCATCAATACACGGCCAACTAATGAGGAAGAATAAGATAACTTCTGAAGGTCAGCCCAGGGAAGAGTATGTTGAAAACAACTTGGATAGTCTTTCACCAGCAAAAGGAGAGCTCTTGAACTGGTCTCTAAAGACATTAAGAACCTATCATTGCTGATGCCCATGCCTTAGTTCAAAGACAGCCTGCAGAATCTTCAATATTTTCATTCAGTGAGAAAATATAAGTTTTCACAATATTTGAATATTATACTCAAAAAGAATCCAGTAAATACAACTGCCACCAGAAAAACTTAGGTTTTATGTGGTAAACAATATGTCTGTTATTTTTAATACTGTGGTCTGATCTAACCATAGTCCCTGCAGGAAAACAATTATTAAAAAATACCAATACATTTACTTATTCATTCAAAAATAATGAGCTCCCATCACTGTTTTGAGTGTTGGAGATCGAGTAGCACGAAAGATATGAAATTGTGTCAGGAAGAGCACATTCTAGTGGAATGACAAACTAAATATAAGTAAAAAGTACAGAAAATTGCTCTAAGGTAGTTGTGAGAGTTATGAAAGAATCAAGACAGAGTCAGGAGTGAGGAATGTGAAAGCTTTTCTACATACTTGTTGAATAAATTAATGAATTAATACATACACACATAATAAACAGTGAAGACTCACCAATCGAGACCAGATGACTGATGTTCTCCAGCATCACATCTCTGAATAGTTTCCTCTGGGACGTGTCCAGCAGGGCCCACTCTTCTTGGGTGAAGGCTACAGCTACATCCTCGAAGGTCACTGATTCCTAAAATATTAGACATTGTTTCAGATAGGACCATCTTTGCCAGTCTCCAGGGCAGGATGGTACAGGTGATAGTACTAAGCAAGTGGTGGCTAAGTGTACGGAAAGCTCAAACAGTATTTTGGTTCCAGTCACATTCTCAGTGCTGACCTGGACATCTGACTTTCAGATATACCCATAGAGATATACACACTCTAAATACACAAAACTTCATTACAAAGAGATATCATATGAAGTGTGGTATAATATAACCTGGAGATTTCCCAATAAACCTGTAATTATGACTTCCAGATCATAAAATTTTCACTTGAAAATTTATAACTAAGACATTCTTCTCCACTAATTTCAAGTAAATCTACAGATTCATCACAAAGGATGCAGTACCCATGATCTGCCACTTCTTAATCACGACTATGGTTAGATTACTCCCCTTTATGACCTCAGTTTCCTCATCAATGAAATGGTTTAATGACGTGTTACGATTTCTGAAAGATCCAATGAGCTAATGGGCTAACTATCTAGCAAAGACTTCTTAAATACAACTTCTATGATTATTATCCAATAAATGGCAGAGAATATTGAAGCAATGTCCAGAATTCTGCAAAACTGAACAGAATTCATACAGGACCTGGGATAAGCAGGTGCAGCCTTCATCTCCACACAACTCAGGTGTTCATTAATGAAAAATGGTTCAGCAGCAGAAGCCAGAGGCTCTGAGACTTCTGTACTGAAGGACAGTATTATCCTGATCCTTCCTCTGGTCAGAGTCCTCCCTTTCTCAATTTTTCTGGGACCTCCAAATATCAGTTATCATTGTCCCTTTTGTTTCTTCATCTTGTCTCTCTACTCAAGCATATATGAAGCCACCTGATCATTCTTCCCTCTGCAGTTCACCAAAAATTTTCACAGAACCTTAAGTTTTACCCTACCTCCTAATCTCTTTCTCCTGAATCACAGCCAAAATTAAGGAAACAATAGTTCCTATACATTGTTTCCAGTTATCAAATTTGAACCAAAGTAAAATTACAAAGAGGGTAAATTCATGATTTGGGACACGGTAATAATGAGAATTTTAGTTTTCTTTTTTAGAAGTTTTCAAAGAGCAAAAATATATTGTCTCAAAACTTTAAAAGATTTAAAATGGGAAAAAAATAAATGAATGACTCCTCGTTGCCTTCTCTGGCATAACCACCACTCGTTTTCCCTCAATACTAATCAGGACTCCCCCTAACACCTGTAATACTGGATTGATTGAGCTCATCTGTGGAAATATCTGCCTCCCTATTGGGCTATAACTTTTTTTTTTTGTGAGGAAGATCAGCCCTGTGCTAACATCTGCCAATCCTCCTCTTTTTTGCTTAGGAAGACTGGCCCTGGGCTAACATCTGTGCCCATATTCCTCCATTTTATATGGGACACCGCCACAGCATGGCTTGCCAAGTGGTGTGTCAGTGCGTGCCCGGGATCTGAACTGGTGAACCCCAGGCTGCCACAGTGGAATGCATGCACTTAACTGCTTGCGCCGCTGGGCTGGCCCCTGGGCTGTAATGTTTTGCTCCCTACTCATCTTTATCACCTGCATTCACCTCAATCCTAAGCCCATTACAGTCAATAAAATGGTTAATGAGTGAATTTTTTTTGCCAACTAGGCCATGGACTGGATGAGAAAAAGAATACCTCTCTCATCTCTTCCATGAATACACAGCATTAATATCTTAATAGGCTGGATATTAGAGGCTGGAATATCTTAGTGTAATGTTGGGAAGGAGATTAACACTTGATGAGTCCTTGAGCCAACAGCACCATTCCAGAGTTTTGGGGAAACTTAACTGAAGCACACATCCTTGAAAAATCTCCTGAGTGTACTCAGAACACGAATGCCTGTAGGAGAAACAGCCCATATACTGGCAATAGAGATGCAATTTCAGTAGAAAGAGTAATTTCCTATTCACCTGTGATTCCATTGTCACTAGCTTGGCTGCCAACTGTCTTCTGGGTTTTCACTCACACAGTCCAAGCAACAGGAGGCAAAGCTGAGGAAGGAGAAAGAAGCCATGAGACTCTAGTTGTTGACAATTTCCAGACCCACTTGTCATGAAGTCCCAATCCTTCACCTGGACGTAGCACCCAGCCCAACCAACAGAAACATGCAATGGGCTCTAAGAGAAATAGGGGGAGAGCTCTTCTCTACCAGAGTCAAAAGTAAGAAGGCTATGACTATTGTTGCTAGTAAAGAAAATACAAATACTTTCAATTTACAGAGAAGAATGTGAAAACCATTGAGTTTTGTATGCTAATTAACCCTGGGTGTTCAGAAGTGTTCCATTTCCTCCTGATTCCAAAACAGGAATCCCTGACTCCTGCCACATGTGCCTCCATCTCCAGTAACCACTGTGGAATTTCTCAGGTTTCATTATGCTTAGCGTGTACACTAGCAGTTCCTCCAACTCCATCCCAGCCCTCTGGTGCCTTAATCCACTCCTACTCTTCCCTGCCCCTGGCCCTCGGGATATACTTATTCTGAACCATTGTCCCCTCCAAGTGGGGTTTCCAGCAATATCACTCCCTCAACACTGACTTTTAGATTTGTTCTGCATGCTTTTGGTTACGAACCAAGAGAATTAAGAATATATTTTATGCGCCGGCCCCATGGCTTAGCGGTTAGGTGCACGCGCTCCGCTAATGGAGGCCGGGGTTCAGATCCCGGGCACGCACCAACGCACTGCTTCTCCGGCCATGCTGAGGCTGTGTCCCACATACAGCAACTAGAAGGATGTGCAACTATGACATACAACTATCTGCTAGGGCTTTGGGAAAAAAAAAAAGAAGGAGGATTGGCAATGGATGTTAGCTCAGAGCCGGTCTTCCTCAGCAAAAAGAGGAGGATTAGCATGGATGTTAGCTCAGGGCTGATCTTCCTAACAACAACAACAACAAAAGAATATATTTTATGATAATCAATTCTGTGACTTATTCCATTTGGAGGGATCAATGGCACCCATCTTGCAAATTTACTCCTTAAAATCTCCTGCATCAGAAAATAGCAGGAGTATATGGGTTATAGTACTAGTATCACGTCCAACAATCCTCATAGAGCAGTAGGCTCAGAAATTATAGAATTAAGCGATTTTAGGAGAAAATTTAGTTGCTGCATCTGATATTTTAGAAAAGTGGTAGCTGAAATCCTGCCCTTTATCAGTCGTCATTAGCTGCAGCTTCCCTGAACTTCATTATTTCATTGTGTGTGTGTGTCTGTGAAATCATTTATAAAGTGAAAATCCTCCCCTAAAACATCAAAAATAATTAAGTGTATTTCATGGACAACTGACAATGAGTCATAAACAGAAGGAGGTTAACTCACCATTTATAACAGAGGACAAGAAAAGAAAGCAATCAAGTCTTATTAAATGTGACTCTGTGCTTGGAGATTTACATACATTTGCTTATTTATTCCTCAAAATAACCGTGTTGATTATGGTTCCTTTATCAATTTAATAAATGACATGATCAGAGATTCAGAAAACTTAAGTAATGTGACAAAATTACATGCATACAAGCATATACGTACATATATGCATACACTAGAAAGTGACACAGGTCACTTTCAATTTTCCTCTGCCTGCTTCCTAAGCTCAAGTTCTTTAAGGGTTACACACCACACTAGATTCTACCTGGAATAGAAACTCTAATAAACAGAGGCCACACCCTATTTTTACAACCTCATCTCCTTCTTGCTTTTCCACAAAATTACTCCCCACGCCCATGTTCTCTACCACGCAGGAACCATTGCATTGCCCCAATTCCCAAACACCAGCTTTCAACCCTCCTCATTTTCACTGCCCAGTTTAATTCAGTTACTCATTTTAATAGATATTTACCAAGACAAACATTCTTTTATGTCCTTCTGATTATTTACCACATCTGCTGATCAAGACCCCAATAGAAGGTGACTTCCAACACCTCCCTGTTTCATGACTGCATCTGACTGCACAGGACTAGGATGACGACCCTCCTCTAAACATGGAGTCACAACTCATAGTGGCTTCAAAACATATCTGGCAACCCTACTATGTCTTGTTAATTAATCTTCCATGCTCCATAAATATTTCAAACCTTCTCTATGTCTTTGAAGTTATATATTCTCACTTCTCCCCTTTCAAAAGATGAGATATTTCCTACTAAGTAGATTTGACAAATTACCTCAGTTTAACATCATACAATGTACAAATATTCCTGCCTTTATACCCTTTAATTACTCCTTCTCCCCTGTAAAATTGAAGACTCATCTCTACTCCTAAGTCCAATGTCTCCAAGTGAACTACTTTCTCTTCTGTTTTGTCAAGAACTTTATATTATTGATAAAAAAGTATATCTCCTTTACTAGCAACCTCTCCTCTCATCACAGTGCATCCTCTCATCATTTAAACCCATTAAATCTCTTCCATCTTGAAACTAAAACCTCCCCTGAACTCATTTCCTCTGAAATTCCTTCTCTCCTCTTCCTGAATTTACAATCAAACTAAAAGCTGAAGGTGCAGTTGCCGTATCCTCACATCCCACTCAACATTTGACTTACTAACATCGCCAATGATATTTGCATAAATAAATCCAACGTGTGTGCCTCAGGCTTTTACTTTGAACTAAACTAAACAATAAGTAACATGACATCTTCTGGGGAACACACTTTCTCCTACATTCCTCTGACATCTCAGTCTAGTGACTGTCTTCAAACTAATCTTGTCATTCCAACTCCTTATCACACGCCAAAAGCTTCTCAAACAATGTATTTTTTTTGTTTTGTTTTGTTTTTTAATTTAATTTTATTTATTTCCCCCAAGCCCCACTAGATAGTTGTATGTCATAGCTGCACATCCTTCTAGTTGCTGTACGGGGGACGCGGCCTCAGCACGGCCGGAGAAGCAGTGCGTCGGTGCGCGCCCGGGATCTGAACCCGGGCCGCCAGTAGCAGAGCGCGCACACTTAACCGCTAAGCCACGAGGCCGGCCCTCAAACAACACTGTTGGAAGATCTCAAGACCCCATCCTACTCCTTCATCCTTTCCCACTTACGTACACTGATATGCCCTGGTACGCTCACACATTCAGTCAGTTGCTTTAATTTTTCCAAATTGAAAGTGACAAAATTTATCTCTGAATTGCATTTCTGAGCTCTCACCTCTATTTGCAAACTAACATGCATTTGAAATGAAATATATCTCAGGCCATTACCTCCCACTCCCCCAAATATTACTCTTTGTCTAGTCTCTAACCTTTTCAATGTTTCCACCAGACATCCAAGGGTTGACATTTTGTATGCTCTCTCAGAATATCGCAAACACAACTTAGCATTGCTGTCACTTCTACACTCTTCACTGTTATCATCTTTCATTTCCTCCCAAATCCACAAACACAATTTCCCACCCCATACTTACTTCCTTCAATCTCAGTTTGAATTTCAATTCCTCAAGAGCCCTTCACCAAACTCCTACCAAAATTAATGTTTCCCTTCACAAAAATTTATTTAAAAAATAAAGGTCTATCCCTCCTGGTGAAAATGATCTCCAGTACTCACCAGAACCCACAATGAAGCCAAATACCTATTGAGGATGCTGCCACAACATTCCAGAGTTCAGAGTTTCTCTCTCTCTCTCGAAAAATGCATCATTTTTGATGGTGAACTCTTTTAATGCAGTTGATAAGCTCTCCAGTATCATAATCCAAAGGACAAATCTGATTAACTTGGTTCCAATCAAGATAAATAATCAAGAAATGATATTTAAGGAAATATTTTCCTTCTCATTAGGTAAATCAAGTAGATGAAAGTAAGGACAACAAATTATATCATTTTAATTCTGCACTTATTCTAAAAGTCTCAAAAGCAACCTTCATGCCTTTTCCCAGAGATTTCACTGTTTTATGGATTTTGGTTGTTCTGGGCAGTACTGTAGAGAATCTGCAGTAAGAGAATCTATCCTGACCTTTATTTGTGAGCGGATTTATAATCTATGAACATATTCTCAGGCTGTGGGCATCAGTGTGACTCTATTAAATATCTGTGGTGAATAAATATATATTCAAGAAAAATATTTTTCAGGGTTCTCGAATATGCAGTTTTACTACCAAGCAAGAAAAAGTATATCCAGTGTAGGTCTCTTCAAGGCAGATTTAGCTGATGTCCTAAGAACTGTAAAACTCTACAATCTTCAAAATATTAAGTATTTCCAAAATAAGCGATCAGTTTCAGTATTGATTTTACTATAAATAGGGTTTTTTTTTTCCTTTTTTCCTGTGGTAAAATACACATAACATAAAACTTACTATCTTAACTATTTTTTGTGTGTGTGTGTGAGGAAGATCAGCCCTGAGCTAACATCCAATGCCAATCCTCCTCTTTTTGCTGAGGAAGACTGGCCCTGGCCTAACATCCTTCCTCCACTTTATATGCGACTCCACCACAGCATGGCTTGACAAGCGGTACATTGGTGCGTGCCTGGGATCTGAACCTGCGAACCCCGGGCCACCACAGCAGAGCGCATGCACTTAACCGCTGCACCACCGGGCCGGACCCTATCTTAACTATTTTTAGGTGCACAGTTCAGTGGTGTTAAATACATTTATAATGTTGTGCAACCATCACCATCATCCATCTCCAGAACCCTTTTCATCTTGTGAAACGGAAACTCTGTACCCATTAAACAACTCCCCATTCCTCCCTCCCTTCAGCTCCTGGCAACCAACATTCTACTTTCTGTCTCTAAATTGGATATTTTTAAAGCTGATGTTAAAAAGGAAATTAAACATTCAGAAATCTAAGACATTTCTTTATAGAAAGATATATTATTTTTGAAGAAAAATCAAGCAATATATTTTCATTTTGGGTATAGGCATTTGATCCCATAAGGAATACTTTGTCATTTTCTTTTTTAAAATTATATTTTTCTGACAGTAAAAAAGTTTTAGTACGTATTATTTTTGTAGTAAACTACATCAACTACTTGATTTTCATGTATCACTGATAAGTTCTATATCTTTTC